TTATTCAAATATCTTCAGCTCAAATTTGAACTCATTGTGACGAGCGGTTCTTCTTTTACAGCATTTTGAAAGTGGGACTTTGATTATGGTCACCCTGTACACTCAAGAGCCAAAACATTATGACCACCTGTCAATAACGAGTTGGCCCACCTTTGGCGCGCAACACAGCTTCAACCCGCCTTGGCATGGATTCATATCACCACTTAATACCAGTTAAATACCACTTCCACCTGATCACGTGCCTTCCACGTCATCCGGGCGAGTTCATTGCAAAATGTAGGGGTGGTCATAATGTTTTGGCTCTTGAGTGTATATTAATAGCTTTAGTGGTGAATGAAAAAGAATCCAAATGGATAAATGGAATGGAAGATAAAGTATACTTACGTCTTCGGTATTTTGTTCATCAAAACATTCTACTGCAATGGATGCCGTTTCTGCATTATCTTCGTCTGGAAAAAGTTTTAAAATAAATATTGACGTTTCACTATTATTTAAAAAGCCTTCAACGCCATTCAATATTATCTATGATAAGCCAGAATTTTAATCTTGAAAAAAAAGTATCTGATATAGATTTCAATTGCATGGTAGAAATTTCTTTCTGATTTATTAAATTAATATGAAGGTTTTTTTATTAAAGGAAAGGATGTATATGTAGTATATGCATGGATATTATTATATTTTTAAATTACATAATGCATTTAAATGTAATAAAAAGACACTGTAATATTTATTGTGGTTTCTTTACTTTTTAAAAACTATTATGCAATTTATACTTTAAAATTGTCTTTTTAAATTTTATACTTTAATACTGATTTACGTAGTAATAAAAATATATTTAAACATTTAAATAAAAATAGTAAAACTAGTTATAATTTTTTCTTTAATTGAAATTATTATGATTAAAAATAACATTATCATCATTCAAGAGGCAATACAATTTAATCATAAAAGAAGAAAAAAATCTTTCATTTTTTCATGAGATATTTATGAAATACTTTTATTAATATTTATGTATAACTTTATTGTTATTTATATTTATTAAAAAAGTGACGGGAAATTAGCATATTTTTAAAATAGAAATGAAAAACTTCATTTTTGCTATAAACATAATAATCAATGTTACTTTATAGAAAAAAATTCATATACTTAATGCTTCCTAGAAATAAAGAAAATATACCTATTACTATTTTTTATATATCATTGAAATATTCAATGAACACATATGATTTTCTGTTTATTTATAAAATATAGACCATTTCGTATTTAATAAAAATGTTCTTGACATAAATCAAATAATATATTCTAATCTACACTCAAGAGCCAAAACATTATGATCAGGTGGAAGTGGTATTTAACTGGTATTAAGTGGTGGTATTAATCCATGCCAAGGCGGGTCGAATCTGTGTTGCGCGCCAAAGTTGGGCCAACTCGTTATTGACAAGTGGTCATAATGTTTTGGCTCTTGAGTGTATATTATTAATATTATTAATATATTATAAATAAATAATATTTTTCATCTATATTATTTGATTAAAAAAGAGTTAAAATTTAGCCGAATAAAAGTTACTGAGAATTTTTTTGATCTAATGCAGCTGGCAAACACTTAGACAATTGTCTTGGATGACTTAAGGTAAGCACTGCGCAGACGTTACTCACTTAACACTACCGAGGAGACGCGTGTAGCTTGAAGATAAACTAAGGACGCGGAGTAACAATACCTCCGCAACTCTCTACGATCCTGTTAGACCAGGACCTATGATTTAAAGCGGATTCCGAACCACTACAAACATCCATGGCACCGCGGGGCTTCCAACTGAAACCTGCCGAGCGCCAGAGCGTTAGCCACTCGGGCATTGAGGCCCAGTAACAGAGAATAATGTAATGAATTTTATTAGCCATATACACAGTCCAGTCACATTAATGTGACCACCTATCAAAAAGTCAGAATAACCACCTTCGGAGAGCGGACGCTGCGAGACGAGCAGGAAAAGAGTCAATTAGGTTTCTGAAGGTGTTCACTGGGATGTTGAGCCATGCTGACTCCCAGTGCCGTGGCCAGCAGAGCTAGGATACGCGGTTGAAGATCCATGGCCCGAACAATCCGATCGAGGTGGTCCCACAGATTCTCGATTGGTTTAAATCTGGTGAATTTGCTGACCAGGGGAGTAAGGTAAACTCATTCTGGTGCTCTTTGAACCCGTGCTGTTGCGAGCTGTATGACACCTCACATTGTCCTGCTGGTAGATGCCATCATTCTGAGGAAAAATAATTCGCATATAGGGGTGGACATGTTCCGCAAGGGACAGATGCGGCACTTGTGCTGATCCATCGTGCCTTCCACGATGATGAGTGCACCAGTGAATGCCAGAAAATATTCCCCAAAACCACAATGCTCCCTCCTCCAGCTTGGATCCTTCCGGCAATTGTCGCATGGTGTTTTACTTTCAGACGTTTCACGCCGTATACGCCATCGTCCATCTGTTCGATGGAGCATAAACCCTGATTCATCGGAAAAAGCCACCTGTCGCCACTCTGTGGACGTCCAGTTTCGGTACTGGCATGCAAATTCCAACCTTCGTCGCCGATGAACAGCAGTCAGCATAGGTGCATTAACCAGGCGTCTGCTGCGGAGGCCCATGCGCAGCAACATTCGCTGAACCGTTGTTGAGGATACACTCTTGGTTCATCTGGGTGGTCAGTTGCTCAAAAGTTGCACGTCTATTCGCCTGAACGCATCTCCGTAGCCTCTGTCATTTACAGCCCGTGGGGCATCACCTGTGCCCCGCCGCTGATTTTGGATAGTGCAATTTTGCCATGCACGGTATACTTTTACCACGGCGGCGTGAACCGCCGTTTCGAAATACTTCCACCCCTTGGCTCCTCGAAAGCCAATAATCATGCCCTTTTGGACGTCCGGATAAATCGCTACGTTTCTGCATTACGCCAACGATTGAAATGCTTTCCGATGCCCTAGGACATCCTTATATACACTCCCCTGCAATGTGCTGCCACCTGCCTTTTTGTGATTGGTTATTTCACGTTGACGTCGAAGTAGGTGGTGGTCACATTAATGTGACTGACTGTGCATTAATTAATTAAATATAACATGAATATTTATAAAAACGCTAAGTATATTTTAAATTTTACATTTTAACGCTATAGATTAAGTATAAATTAATGCTAAATTTGCATTGTAAATAAAATATTATAAATTTTACGCAATATCTTTTGCACCTGTCATAAATGATTTAATAAAAAGCTACTCACTGCAGAGTACATCTGGTAGCGCTTCATTGGATACTTCAGCAGAAACAAATCCTGAGACCAACAAGAACGTGCAAAATTACAAACGTGATGAACCACATGTTGATCCCGAATATTTTCAAACAGAAAAATGAATGTTCTGATGATGTGAAAGAATCACTGCAGAAATTTATATGATTCTTGATTGGAATGTGCGTGATTTTTGGTAAAAATGAACGAAAGCAAAATTTCCTTATAGTACAAATTGTTTCATTCAATGTTTGAAAATGTCTATTGAAACCGTCGTTTTATTGTGCAGTTTTTCCTGTCTGTTGTCCAAAAGTCACAATATTGCTTTCCTTAACAGTTAATACAACTTTTATTTTTAAACAAATTGTAATTCGCACGCTAACATTTGTTCATACTTTCAGCACTTCTTATTTTAAAAGTATATTAAAATGTAATTTTTTTTAACAATTGTACAAATTTCGTATTGAAATAGTAAGTATTTATATTATTATATTCAAGCAAGGTCGTTTAATTTCGTGAAGTATATTTTTCTTTGAAACAGAGTATCATTGTGTAATTTGATACAATTTTTCATGTTTCTATTAAATGAAAAAAATTTAAAAAGCAATTCTGCATAATTATACAGGAGTTATACTATTGAAAATAAATAAATTTTAACTCTATTTATAAAATATGATGATATTTGATAATATATATTTTTTAATTTCGCAGAATAATGTCAGATATTTTGCAGATTCAGCGTTACCCAGGCCCGCATAGCCCAATTACACTAAACACATACTCAAAAGCTTCGGGCTTAGGGGCAAGTCTAGGAGTTTTCGAAGAATTCCTTTGCTGAATGTACTCAGGTGGGCCATTGATGGAGCCTTTTAGGAGGCTCATCTATTTTACACATTAAGAATAATGTCATATATTTTGCAGATTCAACGTTACTCAGTAGAAATTTATCATTACTCCTTACACATCAAAGAATATTTGAAGAGGAATGAGTTTCAGAAATTTGATAGATAAATTTATTTTCAATATTTTGTTTTCTATATAGTATATTAACAAAAATATTTACTAAAATGTTTTCTGTATTTATGTTTGTAATTACAATTTATTATCTTTATTTTATTAGGTTTAATAGTTCCAATCTTAAATTATAAAGTAAAAAAAGACATTCAAACCAGAATACTTTTTCTGATAATTATTATAACATTATACATTCCTTTATTACTCTTTCAGTTTGTTTATAATTTGGTCACTTTTTAGAAATCATCTCTTTACTTTTAAAATTATTTTAAAAATAAATATCAATTAAATGTTAGTCAATTTAAAAAAAAAATTATTTTCCCTCTTAAAAAAAAAAAACTATAATTTGTGAAATATTTATTTTTAATATACATAATTCAATAGTAAAAATCAATTTTCAACGAACTTAAACAATACAAAAATACTGTTGTTGTTGTTTCTTATCCCACTTGGCTGGCCAAGCCCACGAGCCCATACGTACTCATGATTGAAGGGGAAGGAAGCAGCTTCTGTTGTGATGGAGCACCCGTAGGTAGAAGCCTGACTTTTGCTCCGTGACGCTCTTACAGTCATAGAAGACCGGGACCTACGGCTTAAAGTGGATTACGAACCACTATACAAACATCCATGGCATCGCCGGGATTCGAACCCGAAACCTGTGGCACCGACCGCCAGAGCGCTAGACACTCGGCCATTCAGGTCCCAAATTTGCCAACGGCACGCAGTGTTCCCAGGTGGTCACCCACCCAAGTACTGTCCGCGCCCAATGATGCTTAACTTCGGTGATCTAACGAGATCACCGAAGTTAAGCATCATTGGGCTTCTTATTTATTGCTTATTTTTGAAATTATATTATTTTATATAAGTTGTTTGTTTTTAATTATTTTCTAAATTTAGAATATTATTACCAATAATTCAATCCTTTTGAAAAATTATTCAGTTTTTTATACGTATAAAATTATCTCTAATTCATATTTCAAGAAATTTCCTATATATAATTCTATTATTTAAGTATCATTTATGTACTTCATTGATTTATTAACAATTTTTGCAAAGAAAATCAATGCTTGACATCCACATTGAAGTTGGCGAAGAAAACATCCATATTTAAACTGTCCTTTTTTCATAAAACTGAGGTCATTACTTCTAATATTTTATTCTGCATTTAATATATATGGTACTAGGGCTTGATGGCAGGGTATCTGGTGCTCGGTACCCCAGGTTTCGGATTCGAATCCTGGCGGTGCCATGTATGTTTGTAGTGGTTCGGAATCCACTTTATGCCGTAGGACCTAGTCTCATATGAGCGTCAGAGAGCCCAATCAGATTTTGTCACCCACATCATTTCCAAACTGTAAAATGGCAACTCCGCTCTTGGCACAGTGATGTGGTGTGGTGTAGTAGTAGTAGTAGTAGTAATATATATGATACTAAACGAGTGCTTCTCAAAATGTTTGCTCGCATATGATTGCCCTAGGTCATCTAGGGGAGTGAAAATGATGATAAAATGAATGATTCATTCGACTTTGAACATATATATCATTTAGATATTACAAATAATACATGATTTATTTCATGGCACTCTGCAATGTGCACTATCAACTCTCTTAATGATTAATTTCACTGTGCATATTTTGAAATCTTATATTCTTATATAGTTTATTTGTTATTTATTGAAATTCATTTACATGACAAGAGATAAATATATGCATATTTAAAAATTTTAAATACCACCAAGATTTCTGCATCTGCACACCCACACAAGCATTTTATTAGTGCTGCACCATTAATTTTGTTGACTATTCCTGGATAACAATGCTTTATTACATCTGACATCTAAAAGCGAAACCACAAACATGTGAATAATTAATTTCAGAAAATTTAATAGTTAAATCTAAAAATACATATATAAATATGATGCCAGCGACTAAAATTTTTAAACTATATTATTAGTAAATTATTTTTACTGGGCTTTATTGACCATCAAGTAATTTAAATAAAATGCAATTATATAAAATTTATGAAGCATAAAATCATTTTAATTTGTTAACATTCGTGACTATATAACTTATTCTAAATATTGGAATGTAGTTATAAGTTAAAAAAAAACATTCATCATTTTATTCATTATCAAAATTAAATATTTATAGGAAACATTATTATTATTTATATAAATAATTATATTCATAATAATAAATGAATATAAAATAGTTTTTGCTGTAATAATGGAAAATATTTAAATTTACTTTTGTTGCTACTTTTTACTTGTTCAGCTCAATTTTTTCCATATATATAAAACTATAGGTATTGTTTTGGGGCAGGAGTTTTTGGTTTCCTTGATCCTTTTTTTCCTGTCCTTGGATCAGTTTTTTCATTTTGACTTTTCTTATTGCTTTTTAACAAATTTCTTTTTTCACGTGTTTTTTTTGTAAAATCATTTGGGATTATATATGATTTTTTTTTCTAATTATTATTTCAAATTTCTTTTCAGTGATTTTTTATAAGATCGTTTCAAATTATATAGTTCTTTCATTTTTTATTTTTTTAAATCTGTTTTTTTTTTCTGTTTTGAAAGCACGAGCGTTGATGGAACGAGGTTGATTGCGTTGATGATTTTTTACTTTTCGGGGATCATAGATACAAATCAAAATTTTAGAATAAAAGAACGAAATCACGAGAGCATCGATTGTTTTTAATAAAACGAATTTTTTCAATAAATTTTTAATTTAATCAATTTATTATCACTCATTATTTTATGAATTTTACTTTTGTTGAAAGTGGTTGATATTGTTCAACTTCCAGTCTTCAACAAATTCAGATTGATTATGTGAATTATGAAATCCTTTTCTTGTTAAAAATTCAAGAATAACAATTGAATATGAATATCAAAGGTATACTTTTCATTAAATCTTATTGGAACAATTGAAGATTATTGTTCCTTCATATCGTTTTTTATAGATCAATTTTCCTGAAAAAAGCGAAATTAATCCTGTAAGGATTTTTTGATTTGCAAAAGGATGATAAGTATCATTTGAAGAATATGAATGAAGTCATGAGTTGATTTTTTTTTTTGACAGATTTTTATTGAATAAAATTTCCCTTTATTAGTCATATTCTTTTGAGTCTAATTTTTTTTAGTTCAGGGCAGTTTCATGTTAAAGGTAATAGTTATTAATTCAGTTTGCGAATCTTCATATTTTTGCTATTCAAAGATCATAAACGCGAATTGAAGTATAAAAAAATAAAAAATAAAATCTCTCAAAATTAATTTTCCCACTTCTAATTATTCATGATCAAAACATTTAATCATTTAATTTTAAAATTTTCGTGCAAAATTTTCACTAAATTGTACTTCCAGATAATAATTTGGTTAATAGCTACTAGATGGCACCACCAGAGTTATATTAACATTTTGTCCCCTAATTTTCCCTCCTTTTTCTCTCCTTCCAAATTCAGATTGACCATGTCAAGATTCTGAAATTCTTTTTCATTTCAAAATTCAAGAATAATAATTGGAGTATCAATATAAAAACAGTAGAGAGGGTTGGTATACTTTTTCACAAATCTTACAGGAAAAATTAGAAATTATTGTTTTATAGCTCAAATTTCCTTGACAAAAAGAAATTAATCGTCCCATAATTTTATTTTTCATGGATGAGAATACCATTTGAAGAATGTGAAGGAATACATGAAATTATCAATTATTTTTCACAGATTTCATTGAATCAATTTAAGTTATTATTATTTTTATTTAAGTTGAGTTGTGCGGAATTTCTCTTAAAGGAAATACATAATTCCATCTATGAATCTCCATATAATTTTTCTTCAATGCAAATTGAAGTATAAAAATAAAAGAGTGAATTCCCATAAAAATCTTCCGTCTATTTACTCGTTATCCAAACATTATATATATATATAAGAAAAAAATTAGCTTAAAATTGCAATTGCAGATGATGATTTGATGGTTCGTTACTAGATGGCAGCACCACAATATTCTATAACTTTTATATTTCCCCCATTTTCTCTCCTCTCCTATAAGACAACATAAGGCTTATTAAAAATGTAACAATTGGCCTTTTAAAGTGAAAAAAAGAAAACCATTTCAACACTGATATACAAATTAACATTACAACATTTATTCTCCGTTCCAAAAATAATTTTTATTAAATTTTTATATTATATAAAAAGTTTTTAATCGCCTATTTATATTATAATTGTAAATGCGAAATTCCCAAAATTACTTATAAATTTGTGAGGTTTTGAATTGAAATATTCAAGAATTTTACACCGCCCTTTGTGCCTTTTTGAAAATATAGAAATATCTAAAAATATTAATTTTCTAATATGGAAATTTTGATTTCTATAATTCAGTTTTATAATTTTCTATTAATTAAAATTTTTATTTCAATAAAATTTCGCTTAAAACTGTTCATTCGATATAATTCCATATCATATTAATAAACCTCGTATTCTCTTGGAAATAATAACATAGATATAGATGGTATTATATATTTCATATAGATGGGGAAAACAGTGAGCATTCACTTTGATTAGCTAACTTCGTTTCATCCATGCGTTCTGTCATGTTAACAAATTCTGTCATGATTTTAAATGTAAAGGGGTTGATGCTTGCTTACAAAACTTATTATTTAATTCATAATTTTGACAAAATATTCACCTAAAATTCTGCCACTTAATACATTATTAAAAGGATAAAAGTATGTTTCAGTGTAAAATCAATGGTTGATAAAAAATTATAACTCAACATTTATCAAACTAACATAAGTTTAATTTCAAACACAATTTCCAATTTTCCCCATGTAATGCAAAAAATATGCATTTAAACAGGACTTTTAAAACCAAATATCGTATCAATATGTCTGTTATTTTTGAATTAAAATATTAATAAATTATTAATCCTAAAGACAGTTTTTTTGAACTCATCACAATAACCAAAACCGAATAATTATTTCTTCTACTTAAGTTAAAAAATATTTTGTGTTTCTAAAATTTAAGGTCTGAAAAGACCCACAGAGCTGCAAGTTGGACCGCTCATAACCTGAAAAGCGAATCAAATGGAAATGTCCACCAAGTTTAGGAAAGTTATGATTTGGGAAAGCTATGTCTTTAAAAAATCGCAATGTTTTATTTATGCAGAGTTTAGCCGCTTGCAATAGATTCATCCCGGCCGAACTTACAGTTTTGTTAGACTTCTCTACTAGTCTAACAAAAGCTGGACTTTTGCAGTGGGTGTCTAGGGGTGTAATTCCAAACACATTAACGAAGCGCTGTTTTTCTCCCAACAACGCATATTTAATAGAGCACGGTTATACACTGAAGTGACAAAAGTCATGGGATAGCAATATGCAAATTTTCAGATGGCAGTAGCATCGCGTAGAACAGGTATAAATGCGCAGTGCTTTCATTTCTGTTCAAGTTATTCATGTGAAGAGGTTTTGGCGTGATGATGACCGCACGACGGGAATTAACAGACTTTGAACGCGGAATGTTAGTTGGAGCTAGACGCATGGGTCATGCCATTTCGGAAAACGTTAGGGAATTCAACATTCCCAGATCCACGGTGTCAAGAGTGTACCGAGAGTATGAAATTTCAGGCATAACATCCCACCATGGACAGCGCAGTGGTCGACCGCCTGCGCTTAACGACCGAGACCGGCGACGTCTGCAAGAGTCGTGAATTCTAACGACAAAAGCAACACTGCGTCAAATAACCGCAGAAATCAATGTGGGACGTACAAGGGACTTGTCTGTTAGAACTGTGCGGAGAAATTTAGCTTT